TTTCTTTTTCTCCTAAATTAATGGATAACGTACTAACTAGTCACCTATCACTATATCCCTTTCAAATACTTCACACTCATCTTTATATATTTATTATTCAATATATGTAGGACCCGCATTTGAGAGCTCGTTTGTTAGACATAGGTGTCAATTAGAGTTAAGTTCATGTTGGCAAGAAATTTAAACATTTGACAATTATTTATGTTTATTGTTTATCATTTTAAAAAGAAAAAAAAAGTCTCAAGATTTTATAGACATCTGGGAGACGACGAATTTCTTGTTTTTTGTTTCGTTTCCAATTTATTCCAAAGCATAAATAAAAATATTGTGTTTATCATTCTTGAATCAATGAGTGTTGGGAGCCACTTTATTTTATTTTATTTTATTAAAAACGAAAAAACAAAAACGAAAAATATGAAGGTTGAAGCTAGCAGGAGACTATGAAAGCAAATTTCCTCATTCTCTAAAGATTGGTTTAAGCTCTCATCTCCATATTTATTGTACTGTGCAAAATCTCAAACATCAATCATTAAAATATCACTTTTATCGATATTTGAGGGAAAAAAATAATATTTTGTCAATCTCAAAAATATAATTGGTATTTATAATTTGATATTGTTTTTTTAATAAGAAATAATCTAGAATCAGCCAATTGTTTGAAATTAAATTCAAATGTGTGACACGACTCACGAAATCAATTTGGCTAAATTAAAAATATATATATCCTTACAAAAGTTTTAATACTACCTTAAACATTTATCAAACATTTCAAAAAACTGGTAAATAATAATAATAAATAAATAATTCATCAAACTCACAAAGCAAAGGGTCATTTCGTTCCCAATGTTTCAAGAATAATATTGAAACATTTAAAACGATAAAAGTATTTCTTTTTTTTTAAGAAAAGATAAAGTTAGAGGTATTTTTTATAATCTAGTCATTCAATTTTCTTAAATAAACGAAATGGTAGTTCCAATATTAAAAAAATATATATTGAAATGTCATTGTCAATTTGATTTAATCCTGTTGCATAGTCGTGGAACAGCTGCTTAGTGAGAGATTCAAATTTTAAATTATTTTTAAATATGAGAAAATAATTTAATAGTTCTAATGATGAAGAAAGTTTTGGAAAAACGTGGACTAGCCGTTAATATGTTAGTTTGCAATTGAGTATAGAGACCGCTCCATGGTTCAAATGATGCAATCTGTCATGTTTTTTAAATCCACTCCATTATATTTCCCTTATAAAACACAAAAACAAAAACAAAAACGACGACAAAAAAACTAGTAAATAGAAAAAAGAAAAAGAAAGAAGAAGGCTACTCATTCTACAGTTTCAACAAATGTCAATTATTACTGAACTAAGTTCAACCTAACAAGTTGAAGAAGATTATGACAGAGTAAATTTAATATTCAAAATATTAATCTCCACATATTTTGCAGGTAAGAATAAGATATAAGGAATGATCCACGACTCATCCATTCTAATACGATTTGGACGATTTTTTCATTAGTAACAGTGGAAACAAATTGAGCATTATCTAAAGAGTGTAAGGTTATTTCACTATTATCTAAAGAGTGTAAGGTTATTTCACTTTTAACACAGATTCTTCGATACACAAGAGACAGAAGAAACCCAACAAATAAATTTTAACTGGTAGGTAATATAGAATGCTAATTACAAGTTAGAACAAGAGGCGTATTATATAGATTTGGTGCCAGTTTCCAAACATAGCCATTACCCAAGTGAAAAAACACTCATCTGCTACTAACTTTACCAAATTCAACATTTGAAACCTCCGCATGCAATAAACCAAATTATGATGATCATGACCAAGATTCCTCCCCCAACCATCAGCTTCATCTGTAAGCTCTGCAGCCACATTTTTCGCCGAAGTTGCCTCCCTTGTCGATGAAAGTTATCGGCCTAAGTTCAAACAGAGATCCCAACGATAAACAGATTAGATAGATCACTTCCCATTCAGAGTTCTCAACAGACAGGCAGATTAAATGAGGTACCTGAAATTGTAGATTTTCTGTCTTGTCTACCAGAAGCTCAATCCGCTCTCCGCGGTCTAGAACCTACACGAGGGACAGGCAATTGCTATCATATCTGTTTAGAATAGCTCAGAAAGATAAGTTATAGAGTTCCGAAGCCCCCAATTTGCCTGTCCTTGGTACTCAGAACTTAGCGGCTAGGGCAGAACTAACTGGAAGAAAATTCTTCTAATTTTCAGTTTCTTTCCAAAAGGAATTTCTTAGCATCTCTCTCTCTCTCTTCTTATTTATAGGAAAAAAATACAAATACATAGAGTAGTTATTACTCAAAGTGTACAAAAAGGATGGTCTACTTTTTTTCTTGCTAAACCCAAGCAAGATCTCAATTCGGTGGTGACTTTAATGGTGTCACTCAACAATTGCCTTTACTTTTCTCAAAAATTTAAAAAAAATGACAACTGAAGTTTAATATTATGAGAATGTGGAAGACCAAAGTACTGATTCACCAATTCCAGACCATTTAAAATGTGGAATAGTATGCAAGGACTGATGAGGCATTACCCAACCCAAAACCACAAGGATTTTAAGAAATTCCAATCATAGTGAGAGGCTAGTAACAAAATAACCTATTACCAAGAGAGCTCCTTAAAGAAATATAAAAAGTGAATTGTCAATAGTCTCGTCTTAAAAAGGTCTAGCATCCCTTAGCCGCCAAGGTCTGAAAAGGATTCTCTATTACATACATGTAACTTACTCGGCAGGTCAGCACACACAGGATTTTTTGTATGTATTCAAAAACTTGCAAGCTCAAAGTAGGAAAGCAATAACAATAAAATGTAAAATCCTATCAAATTGACACTTTATGGTGTCTTCGACAAGGCCAGTTATGCTTCATTGCGCAAAATCATCACAATGCATTCCAATTTCATTCTTCCATTACTTTGAGTTACTTATTGGTTATGAACACAAAATAAACAAGATGAAGCAAAAAAGAGACCTCTAGGGCTTGTGCCTTATGTAATATTCAGGTTTTCACAACTGATTTTGTACATGGAGTCACAGACCATTGGGCCTAGCCAAAGACTTCATATATATGTACGTGCATGTGTGTGAGAAAAACATATGATGGTGTTTAATTTACAAATAAAATATTTGACTAATGAAATTCCGCTTCTTTCCAAAATAACTAGACTACTATCAAATTATTTTCAAACAATTATTCAACTGGTCCAGCAGAAAGTCTGGTTCTTCATAAACAAGCAAGCAACACACTAATGTAATTTTTTTTTATTCATTTCCTCGCAAGTCGCAACATAATTACTACTCCTAACTGCGGTACTTAAAGAGATAAAATAATTTGTTCAGTACTCATGGCTAGCATATTATTACTTGGCTGTCTACCAACAATGAAGCCACATGTGACAAGAATATGCCCAGACACAATGTTAATGTGATTTTATACAATTTGCCAAGATGACATGGAAAAGGAGGAAGAATTAGAGTGCATAAAGTGAGATTTTCTAAAATGCTTTAATCTCTGTCTCCGTATCTTTTCATTATGCACAACTGTGAAAAAAAACAAATAGATGAAAAACATATATATTATATACAGACAAAATCTCGATACAAAATCTTTAGCAGGAATTGTGTGATTTTATAAAACAAGAGGTCTAACCTTTTCGATGTTGTCCATCATAATGCCTTTCACTTCTGTTATTTGAGCCTTCAGCTTGGAAAGTTTACTCATTTCTTCTGGATGGCTCATGCAATATTGCATGTGCTCCTTAAGCCTTGGCCTATCATGAAAATTAAATTAGAAGTTGTTAGGTCAAATGTATGACATAGAACTCTAACATTGTTCATAAACATGGCCATGGGCATACCCAAATTCTCGGTCAAGAGTGTATGCAACACTGAATCGATCCAGAAATAAATCATCGTCATCTTCATCATCTGCAAGTGGGTGAGGGTTCTCATCCTTGATACTTGAACCATAACGCTGCTTAAAGTCATCTTTCACACGGTCAAGAAATACAAATGGCACATTCCTTCCAACTGATTCATCCGCAACAGCCAGAAAAACTGCAAATCCATCAAACACCTTCAGCCACAAGTGTTGATGAAGTCTAAGAAAGTATATTATCAAAGTTGAGAAAACACAATACCAAATCCACTATCAAGAAGGAAGTTGAATGTGTGCCCATCACATGAGTATGTGCATTTGCTGCTATTAGAAGGCAATTTCTGCAAGCATTGAACGGCTATGGTACTAAAATTCCCTGAGAATGATGTGTGTTCCGCTAAAACAACAGTTCCTTTAGCAACAAAGCTATATATCAGGCCTTTCTGACTCATCTCCCACTGTTTTCCGTGAAGAATCAAATTAGTAGCACACCGAACTGCAGGAGTAACCTACAAACATTTTAAATGGATAGTGTCAATTGAATTTTTTCTCAACCCGGAGGAAGGAAACATAGGAAAACTCACTAATATCTTAGTTAACAACACAATATGAGGCTACCCTTTTTATTGCCTTTATTCAATTCTCATCCAATTTGTTACTGGGCTCATTGGGACTTTTATGTTTGTTATTCAAAATTCCTAGGTCTTAGTCGAATGATGTCCAGCTAAGTTAATTCCTATTTTTCGGGAAGTTATCGTACTACCGGTCCATAAAAATTGAGCCAAAACTAATAAAGGAGGGAACGGTAAGTAAATTTCTTGCTTGTAAGATTGGTCTATCGAAGAACTAGGAGCTTTTTTTTTTTTTTATCACTAGCAGTAAGGTTCGAATCCAACACAATAACTAATTTATACAAATGGCAACACCCAATACGTAATTGCATCAAACATCAAACTGTAGACGATAAACCCCAAGTACCTTCAGGCAATTAATGAACCCTTGACAAAGGTGTAGAGAAGTAAACTCCGAATCCCAACGAAACCACAAATTTCAAATCAGCCCGATTGCACAAAACGACTTCAAGCTTACGCAAAGAAGAAAACGAAAACGAAGAAGATCAAACAAATGCAAATTCACAGCGTTTCTTACAACTCATGCAACGATTCTCGCTCTGAACCCGAATTAGAAGTTCTTAAGGAACAGTTCGCGAAACAAATCAAACCCTTAAACAGAATCATCCAGAAATCGACGAAGAAAACACAATTAAATTCCACGATCCAATCAGAAAGTACGAAACAGAGGACAACGGAGAAATTGCGAACCTTAAACTTGAAATCTCTAGTCAACTTCACGCACGATGCAAGCTAAAAGATCGATCAGTTTGAAGAACACATAAAATTGGCAAACAGACGGGTAATTTATAGGGAACCCAAACCTCAATCAGTTAACCTTCCGTCTCCTTCCAGGAACAAGTCTCTGAGATGTGTTTAAATACTCACAGTTTCCAGCTTATATTTTTATTTTTATAAATTTAAATATTATATTTTGATTTATAAAATTTTATTAGTTTAGTTTTTTGTAATTTAATTTAATTTTAATTAAAAAATCTGATATATCTAACTCTAAACCATTAATTAGTGCTAGTTAATAATTAGTTAAATATTTAACATATTTTAATCATTAAAAAAACTACAATATTTTAACTTCTAAACTTTCAAAAATTATAACTTTTCGAATTTTCAATAAAAAAAATCATTTTGATGATTGCTAATAGGAATAGTATAGTTTAATTAGACATCAAAATTAAATATTTTGAATTGATTTTCACTGCAAGATTTGATCAATTTTAATTGTGTGTTAGTACTCCAAAAAAAAAATTGGTGTGTGTTAAATTTAGTTAGAAAAATACTATTAAGTAAATGGCTAAATTATGTAGAAAATGTCAATTTGTTTATAATTTTACAAAAATGATATATTTGGAATTTTACATTTTTTTTCCTCATAATTACATTCATATGTTTTTTTGGAATTTCAAGTATTTAACCATCCAACAACTTGCTCAAGTCCGAATTCTCATATCCTTTCCCTCGGCAACAACCAACTGAACGACCAATTTATATCTCTATCTGTTTGGGGAAGAGAATACCTTGGACGGT